TATATTAAAAAATGACGATCATGAACATTATTAACGAACCAAGCATCAGTCAAAAATGAGCAAATAGATAAGAGCACTGAAAAGGATAATTATTAATGCATATTAGAATTTATGTAGAAGAAACTGTTATAATATATTTTACGTAAATGAATGTATTTCACCTTTCGAAATATAAAGGGAAGGTGACCACTGGTCTCTTAGAATATCTAGACTTATACTTCCATTACTGTTGATATTCGGATGATAAACTCTTGTCGTAAAATTAACCTTACAATGCACATATATACGTTTTATTTATGTTAGACAAGTATCAATCAGTACATATTATTAGAAAGAAACGATACCTTTGGTGGCTTGAATGGATAATCATTAGGAAAGTGGATGTCAAGAAAAAATACACCACCAGTGTATGGAGAGTCGGTCTAGTACGTATGAAAGCAAAAAATTAATTCTAATAAGTTTAAATATTTCAATGAACACTAGCGGCATCAAGCATTACTTACGGGGCCCATAATCGTTCCTTGCCAATGAAAAAGATCTTCTCCAATAGGACCAGCACTGCAAGACGAAGGTGGGTCTCGCCCTATATCATGCAGTTCCTAGAAAATAAAATAAAAGAAGCATCAAAAGAAAAACGTCCAAGTCAAAAAAGTTTAATATTGAAAATTATTTTCGACTAATATACCAGTGTTGGCTCTAAATTACACGGGCATTACTTATTTTGCTATTAAAAGAATATTGTATTCTTTTTCAATCAAGTTTAGAAACGAAGTCAACAATATAGTAGAAACTACCAAGCCCTTGATCTGGGTAGCTGCAACGTTTTTCTCAAAGCATTGTTTTAAAATAAATGGCATTCTTTGAGATTTGTACAATAACTCAAAAGGTATAAAGCTACCAAGGTCCGAAAAAAAGTTCAAGCATGTTTAAACGATGTAAGGCAAGTATATTCCTGTATCTTTCTAAAGAAATACACTATAACTTACTTTATTAAGTCTTTTCAAAGCCATTTCATTTGTTGCAAGTAGAAATTATTTAGAAAAAAGTATGAGATTGTATGGGTATGTAGTGAATAACCTAGTTACACACGGGTTCATATACTGTGGCCAAAGGCCACAGGATTTAAATATGAACCCATGTGTAACTGTGCTATTCAATATACTATATTATCTTTTGCACGGTGTCTGGCGTAAAATCCCGTGCTAAAAAGTAAATGATTGTTACATAAGACCCGTGAATTTGTATCATCTTACCGACATTCATTTCCCCGCGTGCACTTATTTGTGCGAGTGATACAAATCCAAAAAGGGAAATTAGCCAATCGGAGAACGTAAAATGTGATCAT